CGCCATGAGCCCCTGGGTCTGCCTCTGCTGCGATGTCCTGACGGATTCCAATCCAGCGCTTGCTTGCAGATTTCGTTTCCGCCCCGTCGAAGTGTGTGGCCGACCCACCTCCACTTTCGCTCTCGAATTTCTGTTGCTATCAGCTTCTGATGACATCGACGATGGAGCTCTGTGCCACCAGGCACGAATTATATACCGCAGGCATCGGTTGATGAAGACCTGCAGCTTTTGAGTGTTCTCCGCTGATACACACCACGTCTCGCTGGCGTATAACAACACAGATTTCACGTTGGAGTTGAAATTTCGGATTTTGGTGCGTTGACTTATCTGGTTGGATCTCCATACGTTTCGTAAACTCGCAAAGGCAGCCCTAGCCTTTTTGATTCGTGCACCTATGTCGCTCTTGGTCCCGCCGTCCGACGCTATTTGGCTGCCAAGATATTGGAAACTTTCGACCTTCTCCACTGCTTGCCCCGCTACCGTAAAGTTGGAAGGGTTGCCCGTGTTGATATCCAACGATTTGGTCTTGTTGACGTCGATGGTGAGACCCGCCGCAGAGGAGCGTTCGGCTACGTCATTGAGCTTACTCTGCATATCAGAGCGCCGTTGTGCTAGTAGAGCAACATCATCAGCCAAATCGAAGTCGTTGAGATGCTCCATGGTGATAGGCTGCCAAAGCATCCCACGGTTCGGTACACGGTCAATTGCACCTACCATGATCTCGTCGATTACCCGGATAGGGTCGGACAAGGCTCCGTTATGCAGAACTCGGCACGTGAAAGCCTCATACTGCGCTTCGATGAGGTTGACGATTTTATCCGGGACTCCCTTGCGTCTCAGGGCGCCCCACAGATTCTCGTGATTGAGACGGTCGAAAGCTTTTTCGTAGTCAATGAATACCAAATAAAGGGACTCTTGGAATTCATTGACCTGCTCCAGGATGATGCGGAGCGTGACAATATGGTCCACACAAGATCTTCCGGCACGGAATCCTGCCGTCGGAGAGTCGCGTCGATCTTCTCCTGTATCCGATTCAGGATAACTTTGCACAGAACTTTGAGAACAATACTCAGTAACATGATGCCTCGCCAATTGTCGCACACAGTCAGATCCCCCTTTTTTGGGACCTTCACTAAGATGCCCTGCATCCAGTCGGCCGGAAAAGTCGCGGTGTCCCAGATATTGCAGAATAGTTGATGCAACATTTGTGCGGATAGCATGGGGTCAGCTTTGAGCATCTCTGCTAATATGCGATCGACCCCTGGAGCCTTGTTGGATTTCATGCTTCGGATAGCTGCTTCAATCTCCTGCAGTGATGGGGCCTCGGAATTGACGCGAGTGATGGCGCACCCTAGGCGGATCATGCCGAGATGTTGATGGCTGGTTGGCCGTCGAAACTTGAAGAAGTTGTTCGAAGTGCTCAAACCAGCGTTTCAGATGGTCAGTGGGGTCGGTAAGCAATTGTCCAGTCGTGTCCTTCACTGGCATCCTCGGGTTCATCCGTGCTCCACTCAGGCGTTGTGAGATATCGCAGAGGAGGCGTATATGGCCAGTGTTTGCGGCTTTCTCCCCTTCGTCGGCCAGGGAGTTCACCCACGCTCGCTTGTCCCGTCTGCAAGAGCGCTTGACTTCCTTCTCTAGAGCCGAGTACCGTTGACGTGGTTCGTTCTTGGCTCCTCTGGTTCTCGCCCGCTCTATCGCGGCTTTTGCTTCTCTACGCTCCTCAATCTTCCGCCAGGTTTCATCTGTGATCCACTGTTTCCTCTGGGTGCGCAGCTCACCCAAGTTGTTCTCGCTTGTTTCTATAAAGGCATTCTTGATGGCCGTCCATTGTTCTTCTACGCTGCCACCTTCTGGAACGTCCGCAGCTCGAGTCTCAAGTTCTTCAACAAAAGACCTTTTTACCGCTGGATCTTCAAGTCGGCGTGTGTTGAACCGCCGCCCGAGTATCTCCTCCCGTCGCTGGATCCGCGCCATGCGTAGGCGGATTTCACCGATTAGAAGGTGATGGTCAGACGCGATGTCGGCGCTGCGTTTATTCCGGACATCAAGAAGGCTCCGTCTCCATTTTCGGCTGATGCAGATGTGGTCGATCTGATTTTCGGTATGTCCATCACGGGAAACCCACGTGACTTTGTGCACTGGCCGATGAGGGAAGAGCGAGCCCCCGATCATCATGTCGTTATTGCCACAAAATTCTGTAAATAACTCACCGTTCTCGCTCATTTTGCCGAGACCATGGCGTCCCATGACACGCTCATAGTCCGTGTTGTCGGAGCCGATCTTCGCATTAAAGTCGCCAGTGTAGACCTTGATGTCACCCTTTAGAACCTTATCCACGACGGCATTCAGTTGACTGTAAAAATTCTCCTTGTCCTGTAGCTCAGCAGCATCGGTAAGGTTACGAACCCGTGTTCTAAATCTGGCAACGATTATCCTCTCATTAACAGGCACCCACTTGATGAGCGCAGCACTTGCCTGGACGCTAAATAGGAGACCAACTCCACGATGGCGGGAAGCGTTTTCACCTCGAATACCAGAGTATAGTAGTACCTGTCCCGACGGCAGATTGTGTTCTCCAAAGTTTGGCCAACGAACTTCACTCAGTCCCAGGATTTCTAGCTTCATGCGTCGCGCCTCGTTGGCGAGTTGTGCCAGTTTACCCTGCTGGGCTAACGTCAATACATTCCATGATCCAATTCGTGTCCGTTGTTTTGCGCTAAAAGTCGTTGCCGTTAAATCAGTTCGATGTCTTTCTCTGTTGGTTTCTGTAACAATTGTAAAGGTTTCAGAGACAGTAGGTGGTTGGCCTAAGGTCTCCTACCCGCCGTGATAGGGCTGCCATCTTAGGTGTAGCTTCCGGGGAAGAGCATTTCTTATTCAGCCGCTGGATGCCCGTCAGACGCTGTTTGAGCCGCACCTACATGGTGAACAGACGCTCGGGTTGGCGAAGCATTTCCTCTATCACCGTGCTATGGTTACCGCGGCAGTGTTCGCGTCGCACCTCCTCACTCTGCTATTGTCGGATTGACAACATTGCCCAGGCTACGCCAACCAGCTGTGTCCATGTTTCAGCTGGCAGTCTTTTGTGATCATATGACTCGTGGAGGCGTGAGGTAGGAACTTGTGAGGACCGGAGCTAGGTATATCGCTCCTTCCAGATTGTCACTTACCATTTTGTAGCCCCTACTTCCTACACTAAGGAAATAAATTCAAACAATTTAAAACTATTAAGTTATATACAAATTTATACGAAATTCCTGATCGTTACAAGAGTTGAGGATTTTCCAGGTGCACAAACTGAATTAAGCCGAAGACAACAAATCAAGAAGACTGGCAACTCTTCCACTTTCTCATACGAACGCTATGCGACTACGACGGCGACAACAGCGAATTTGAAACTTCCCATTTGTCTACGATAGCCTACTGGATCTTCATGTCCGCTATCTGTCACTGTTTGCAAACATATCTAATACATATCAATTACCTTTGTCGTAATACTTCTGTGGCGAACGGATACGAATGGAATCGAAAGAACACGTTTGTGATTAATAATAACTTCCTTTAACGAAAACAGATTTTCTTCCTTTGCCATCGTCATATGGGAGGAGGTTCGTGTCTAGTGCTTTCCGCAGGAACCGTTCCCCGGCACCAGTTACCACCCATCCAGTCTTGGGCGTACCCACCGAGGCATCCTTCAGATTGCTCAGCCGAGCACGTTTGCAAGCGGAAATCTTGCTGGCTTACGGCAACGTCGACCACCTAATCACCACCAAAACTCGCGGCGGACACATTATCAGCACTTTCCCGTTCTAATTTGAAAACCGGACCGGGTTCAAACGCGCCCACGGTGACGAGACTCTCGATAAAACACGCGCCGTTAATGTGGCATCAAAACTCGGAGAACCGAGTTCCTAGGAGGCAATCCACTATAGCATAATTTCATTAACATTTAACCACAGACAAACAGACGTAACTCTTCATTGTGTATGTTCGTTCACGCATTTAACGGTTGATTTGAATATTATCAGTTTCGCGAACTACTCGCCGCAGCGCTGGCATCGGATCACTTTGACATTTCTATACATTCTATAGAACTTTCATTGTTTGCGAGTTAGGGAGCAAGTTTGTTTTCCGCGAGAAGCCTGAGAGATTTCGCTACTGAGGTCCTATGTTTGGAGAAACTATGTTTTCAAGAAAAACTTTTTCAAAGAGTTACGTCTGTTTGTCTGTGATTTAACACTCAATTGCAGCACAAACAATAATCAACATTGCTTTGGGAAGAATATGAATAATCCTGAAAAACAAATTCAGGTAAACCAGACTTAATGGGTTGCTGTGATCATGACTATTGGGTATGAAATATTGATGCAAATTCGCGAGTATGGGAAGTCGTATACAGATTTAGTTTATTAAATTTAATTGTTTAAATACTAGACTAGGGCCCCAAGGGTGGTTGAGACGGCCCTGACTGAACATGTTAAAAATGTACTTAAATAAGAAATTTTGACTGTAATTAAAGGAAATAGTTTAAAACTGCAGTGAACTTAGAATATTGCGTGTCCCTAGTTTCTATCCTGAATCTACCCATAAACGCATAACAGTCCCATTTGAACAGGAAATCATGCTATCAAGATGTGACTGCTATGCTTTTATGGGCAGTACTCCAAATTAAAAGAATTAAATGAAAATGCTTATGTGTTGTGTCTGTGTGGGAAGTACTCTGCTTTTGGCTTATGATGTATTGTCTTAACTCGCGTAAAGTTATTGATTTCAAAAAATTGTGTTATCGTGAAAAAAATATTGTATCTCACCAAAAAACAACTTAGCATGCAATCAAATTTTAAGAAAGTTTACGCCGCTTGTTAATCGTCTCGACACTCGCGCCGCCAAGAATACATTTTGCTCATTTGATTTCAATTTTCTCTTTCTCTTCTATGCGTCTCGCTTCAACTTTTGCCAATGATGATCGCAAATCTTGCCTCTCCTTCAAACTGCAGTAAGAAGTCAATCACCTCATGCCAAATAGAGTTAAAAAGACACGTTAGACTCGCGTCGCGATCGCGTTTATTGAATCTTTCGTGTACAGTAAAAACAAAAACAAAAAAACACCAGAAGAGGAATAATCGATTTGTCGGACTTGGAAGCGGAAGCGCCGGGCGTAACCGTCGCGCATCACTTTAATTTGCTTTATTAACAAAACCGAAGAAACGCCATGCTTTGTCAGTTGCGTCGGGGCGGCGTCTCCGCAGTAACCATGCTTCAACGATCAATCACCAAACCCACCACCGCTGCTGCTGGACGGATTGATCGTGCCCACTATTCAGCGTCCGTCGTTGGTCGTCGGATCAACACCACCGTTGGCCACAGAAATTGTCGCTTCTGTTCGCTGCAGCGATCGACCACTGACGACGACAACTCACGTCAAATCGTTCAGGTTCGCGTCACCTTCGTCCTGATTTGGTACTGTCCGAACTGCACACTAATTTCGCTTTCATTATCTTTGGTCTTATTTGCAGATTGATGAGGAGGTTGCAAAGCTATTGGCTTTGAAGGCTCAACTGCTGAATCTCGATGAAGGCGAGCCGGAGCGTGGCAACAAGAATATCACACTGAAAACAGCCAAAGGTACCCGCGACTATGGCCCGGAAGCGATGGCCCTCCGGTTGGACATTCTGGAGCGGGTTAAGACCGTGTTCAAAAAGCACGGAGCGGAAACGATCGACACGCCGGTCTTTGAGCTGAAGGAGGTGCTGACGGGAAAGTACGGCGAGGACAGCAAGTTGATCTACGATCTGAAGGATCAGGGTGGGGAGATTTTGGCCCTGCGGTACGATCTGACTGTGCCGTTTGCGAGGTTCGTCGGGATGGGAAATGTGTTCAACATCCGGCGGTATCACATTGCCAAGGTCTATCGGAGAGACAATCCGTCCATGTCCAAGGGACGCTACAGGGAGTTTTACCAGTGCGATTTCGACATCGCCGGAACGTACGATCCGATGTTACCGGATGCGGAGTGTGTGAAGGTGGTGGTGGAGATTTTGACCGAGTTGGAAGTGGGGGAGTTTGTGATCAAGTTGAATCACAGGAAACTTCTGGATGGCATGTTCGAGGCGTGCGGAGTTCCGGGGGATAAGTTCCGGACGATTTGTTCGTCGGTGGATAAGCTGGACAAAACGCCGTGGGAGGAAGTTCGGAAGGAGATGATCGATGAAAAGGGTCTGGATGGGGAGATAGCTGATCGGATCGGGGAGTATGTGCGGATGAACGGTGGAGCGGAGCTGGTGGATACACTGGCCGAGGACGAGAAGTTGAAGAACATTAAGACGGCTATGGAGGGTATCGAAGATATGCGACTTTTGTTGCAGTATTGCGATGTCTTCGGGCTGAAGGATAAGATCATCTTCGATCTGAGTTTAGCTCGAGGGTTGGACTACTATACGGGGGTGATTTACGAAGCGGTGCTGAAGGCGGAACCGGTACTGAACGGGGGCGGTGCTGGTGGTAAGGGCAAGGGCAAGGATAAGGAGGAGGAAGTGAGCGTCGGTTCGGTTGCCGGTGGCGGAAGGTACGACAATCTGGTAGGTATGTTCAATCCGAAGCGGAAACAGGTCCCTTGCGTGGGAGTTTCGATTGGCGTGGAGCGGATCTTCTCGATCTTGGAAGCCAAGAACCAGCAGAAGAAGATCCGCACGACGGAGATCGAAGTCTACGTGGCTTCGGCGCACAAGGGACTGCATTTGAAGCGGATGGAAGTGCTGAACAAGCTGTGGGATGCCGGCATTAAGGTTCGTTTCGAGGGGTGTGAGTGAGCAGCAGTTCCACGCCAAATCTCGATTACTTTTTCGAAGGGACGTATCGGCTTTTGTAAACAATGCATTTAATTGGAGAAACTTTACCCTACCTGATAGTGGTATTAGTATGAGTGGAGTAGCTCACCACTTACGCCAAATCGACGATCAAATGCATTGTTTACATAAGCTGATACGTCCCTTCGAAAAAAAAAATCGAGAAATGACGAATCGGAAAAGCTGGTTTGTCCGGTTGGCATTCAACTTTGCATAATTGTTTCTTATGGGCAACGATTCACATTTTTTTGCTAAAATTCGGCCATTTTGAATCTTGCAACATTTTCAAAAAGGGCATATTTAAAAATAAAAAAAAAAAAATAGCACGGAAACGGAAAATTTTCTAGGATTTCATTTTGAAAATTTTACAAGATCCAAAATGGCCGAATTTTAGCAAAAATGTAAATCATTGCCCACTTAACAAACAATAACGCAAATCTTCATGCAAATCGGAGAAGGTATTTTTTCGCTATTGGCCTGGAACTGCTCAGGTCGAGTACTGGTATTATTATGTGCTGAAGCTTTCCGTTTGTTTTCGATCCATAGGCGGAACATCCGTACAAGCAGAATCCGAAGCTGTTGGCCCAGCTGCAGTACTGCGAGGAGAATCAGATTCCGTACGCGATCGTCCTGGGTGACGAGGAGCTGGCGCGGGGCATTGTGAAGCTGAGGGAGATCGCAACCCGCAAGGAGGATGAAGTTCCACTGGAATCGCTAGCGGAGGAGATCCGCAAACGGTTGAACGTTTGAGCTCGATAGTTTTGTTCGGGAGAAGCAGGAAACTTGCTGTGTGATGCCGGGGGGAAAGATGCGTTCGAGGAATATATCGAATTTCCGTTGAATGCCTTTGCTTGGAACGCTTAATTTTCTTCGCAGCTTTGAATAGAAATGGCAACTCAGTTGTGATGTGCAGCTATCGTAGTTATGCAATTGCAAAGCACAAAGGGAAGTGTTGCCAGACTGCATCGATTTTCCGTCGAATGAATTTGCTGGACAACCTAGTTCCTATGTGTATGTTGATGGCAACGAGGGGAGATTTCAGCATGACGAGTCATATGGTGATCTAGCTTTAGAGCAGACCACCTCCACCACTTCTGGCAAATTTGAGCGACCAGAAATCAGCGCCACTCGTTTAGCTCGGGTGGCGTGTGAGGTGAGGTGACAGCGAAGTGATGGTGAAGTGACGATTGTCACTAACCTAATCCACTAATTATTCGTGGCATCCTGGATATCAGAATTTCATTTCTGTAGTTAACAATGTCTATATAAGAGATATTATGTTCCCTTACAAAACGTGAGGGAATTTTGCGGGAAACTACTTCGAAATTTCGAAGCTCAACTAGAGATGTGAAATATCGGTGTTCAAGTTGTGAGCACGCAATTTCAGTGTTAACATTTTTCAAGCCCAAATCGATACAATATTCGAAAAAGAGTAAACACCATCTAGGCAGCACCGAGGGCAGTACGCAATTTGCCAGAGACAAGAAAGCAGGTGGAGAAATGTTTGCCTTAGTTCTGACGAAAAATGGCTACGCTCCAAGGATCTTCAGATCTTGTTCGTGGAAGCAAGGCCTATTTTCGAAGGGAGTCATATCAAATCTTAGGTTGACGCAGTAGGAGCTTTTGTAAGTTTTCGAGAGAGATAAACCCCCTTATTCGTGTGAGGTGACTTTCCGTGTAAATCAAATGGAGAGTCACCTCACACTATCTATGCAAATAATACCATGAAAATATATTTCAAATTTGAGTTAGGACCTAGGACCAAAAACTGGAGCACCGACTGACTGCCCATATCAAATGGTTGCTACTCCGTGATTGATCAGAACCAGTAAAATTGCACTATGAATCAACTGTCTAGTGCCAAAACTGGCCCCTCTTCGGGTAAATTATCTGTGCTTTCTAGCATTCTAAAATTCTTTCAGGTTATCTTGCCCGAAGACACGTATAGGCTTGTAGGTTCTGATGTGAGATGTTCACCCCTATTCTGTATTTCGTTCGAAACGAAATTCTCATACAAAAAAATATTGTTTTGTATAGGAATTTCGTTTCGAACGAAATACAGAATAGGGGTGGTTGTAGAATTCTCAGCGGATCTTCTGGGATCTATTATTTGAACTTTACACGATTCTCACCCCAAGCCTACTGAAGCCTCAGCCAATTATTCGTGGTCTGAAATATTTCACACTGAAGACAGTTGAATATGCCGACCAACAATTGAAAAGGCCTCAACCCCAGTTTTGTAAACAAACCTTGTAAGGGAGTGGCCGTTGCAAAAGAACCATTCTGTCGATGATTGGTGGACGCTGGATCGTATCACTTCAAGTGATTAACAGGTTCTCCAAGTCTCCGAGAAGCTTTTCGAGCATAGTTCCGTGCTTCAACTCGGTCCAACTTGGTCGTTTTATGAATGAGGAGCAACACTTTTAAACGATGATCTCAAATAGCTGATAGCTTGGTAACTTGAGTAGGATTAATAAAACATTTCCAACTAGATTCTCCTAACATTGTAAAGGGTTCTCAAAGAAAGTCCTGTAAGACTCTGGGAGAGAAACGGCGTAGTTCACTGACCCCCAAAATAATTGCATTTTGATTCCTCTGTGGACTGCACGCGTCTCTTAACATGAACTAAATTTCGACTGGACTGGACATAAAACCCTCGGAAACTTCATACATAACCTCAAACTTACATTCATCGAACACACAGAACGTAATTATTTCGGTGAAATGAAGTCCAACTGGCACTTTTCAGAACAAGGCGTCGTACTAACATCCATTTTCTCATCCTTCTAATCACATTGAGCCTATTCCATCAAAGCGATAATATATCGATTCCCGAAGCTACAAATAAACAAGCTGTTTACGTGAATATTCCCGCATTTATTCCCACTGGTGTCGTATGTTGAGTTTTCCTGTTGTCCAACGTTAGGCTCTGGCAGTGAAATATATTGTAACCTGCTTCGATAATGTTTTTACTCGTAATAACTCACCTATGAAACCGTTTGCTATGAATTACACCTAATTTTGTTGCACTTCTAAAAAGTAGTCAGTCGTTTTATTTGAAAGAACAGCCCCAATTTTGCCAATTAGAGTCGACAACTGAAAATGTATAAGTCTAAAATTTTACACTTAGCTGTTGGCCGTCAAGCGCCTTCGGTCAGCAAAAAAGGCAGATAATCCTCGGCGAAGCATATTCCATGTCAAGTGGAAAACGAACATCGACGCTACTCGGTTGAACACTCGCTGCAAACCGTAAATAGCGCTCCCTAAGCTATAATTAGTTCGAAGAAGTGGAAGTCTCAGCATAAGACCGTTGCGTAGTGATTGAGGTTAAACATTAATGTTCATTTGTTACAGATTTGCTTCGCAGTCGATGCTTCCTTACAGAGTATCTACGACGGTTGAACACTCTGGAAACATCTCTTCGGATACGTAAGGGCTCGACATTGATCAATTGGCAGCGATTCTCGTAGTTTGGAAGACGAAGACGGTATCTCCAAGGCAGCTTACGGAGCGCGAAGCGAAGAAAACTTCGTTGCACAGATTCAATTCGCTCAGCCCCATTATTGTAGTTCGGGCTCCAGACTGCACAGCAGTATTCCAACGTAGATCGTCCGAGAGAGCAATAGAGCAGTAAATGTCTGTGAAGTTCTTAGTTCCACATTAACTACGTATGATCGAGCACTAAGTTGATTACTGATGAATCCCGGAGACCAGACCTTAGATGATTGTGCCTAAAGTTGAACGATTCTTCCTGATTGCTTCTGGAACACCTTTCAGAGTTGTATTACGAACCAAAGATCCTGTCCTGACTCACTCGCTTTACAGATAAGCTGTTTGGCGATTTTTACGACGGCCTCCGCCTTACCGTTGGTCTGTTGGTGGTGTGGTGCAGACGTAGAATGTTGAAATCCCCATAGTTTTGCAAACTGATGTCGTGATAGTAGAGAGTTATGGTAAGACGACTACCTCTGTCGAAGGATAATTAAAAGAATGATTTATTTAACTTCAAACTCAAACTCATGACTACTACGATCTAACATATCTTAATAGAGCTACTACGATCGGTTTGCTCGTTCTTGACACCCCTCCTCAAACTGATCGTGGGAAAACTCCGATACTCGAACAGTGCTTCCGGAACGGCATCGTCGATAAACCTTTCGTCAACAAGTCAGCTTGCTGCTCACCCGTTGGAATGTAGCGAACTTCAAGTTTCTTCTAAGCTACACACTCCCGCACAAAATGTATCTTGACGTCGGTGTGCTTCAAACGCTTCGAGGGTCCGGCTGATTCCATGATAACAATGGTTGATTGATTATCTTCATATAAAAGTGGCGGCTGCGGTTCGAGCACCCCCAAATCCTTCAAGACCTTGCCGATCCAAATGGCCTCACACGCTGCGTCTGCTAGAGCGGAACATTCCGCTTCGGTCGACGACAAAGATACGGTGCTCTGCTTCCTGGTACTCCAACAGACTGTGACTCCGTACAGCTTGAACAGGATTCCCGAAACCGAACGCCTGTCGTTGATATCCGTAGCCCAGTTCGCGTCCGCATAGCCAGTCACTTGCCGGATGGGACCGGTTGACCGGTCGTACACCAGTCCGTGGTCAGCTGTCCCCTGCAAATACCACAAAATCCGCTTGGCGTGCACCCAATGATCTTCGGATGGATTGCTCTGGAACTGACTGAAGTAATTCACCGCTGCGCTGAGATCTTGTCTGGACGTCACCATCAAATAGGTGAGGCAACCTATCAGCTCACGGTATGGCTTCTCCAGCTTCTCGTCCGTGTCGTTCTTCACAAGTTGCAGACCCGCTTCCATGGGAGTTGATACGGGCTTGCACTTCTCCATTTCGAATCGCTTCAGGATCGATTTCGTGTAGTTTTCCTGGTTTGGTCGCATTCGTCCCGACAACACGTTCCGGTGGTTAATCTTCAATCCCAGGAACATCTTCGCTTTGCCCATGTCCTGCATCGAGAACTCCGACTTCAGCAGCTTCTTGATGGTACCGATGACACCCAAGGAACGAGAGACGACGAGGATATCATCGACATACAGCAGCAGGAACACCTTCTCACCATCACGCTCACATACGTACAGGCAGCTGTCACTCTCGGACCTGCGAAAGCCGATCCAGGTTGCAAACTCGTGAAAATAGTCGTTCCACGCCTTCGATGCCTGCTTCAAACCGTAGATGTTTTTGTTTAGCTTACAGACTCGATCCCCCTCCTCAAATCCTGGAGGTTGTCGCATGTAGATCTCCTCCGATAGATGACCGTTCAAGAACGCCGTCCGGACGTCCATCTGGTGGATCAGCAAATTCTCCTGGTTTGCCAATCCCAGCACCATTCGAACCGTCGACATCTTCACCACCGGAGCCCTAGGTTTCAGAGTAATCATATCCATACCGCTGCGTGGATCCTTTGGCAACCAATCTCGCCTTGTGCTTGTCTACGTTGCCATCCGGCGTCATCTTTAACTTGAACACCCACCGGTTTTCGTCCCGACCGTAGATCCACCAGCTCCCAGGTATTGTTTTCAGCTAGTGATTTCAATTCGTCCTCAATGGCTTCACGCCACTGCGGCCAATCCTCTCGCGACTTCATCCCTTCAATGGTGTCCGGTAGGTTCTGCACGTAGTTCTCCGCATTCAACGCGTACGCCAGGCACGAGTAGTCGCCCAACTTTAACGGGGCCTTCCGTACACGTACGCTTCTTCTCGGGTTAACCTCTTCTTCATCATCATCATCTTCCACCAGTGTTTCATCGTTGTCGTCATCCTGGTCGTCGTTTGGAGGATCAACTTGTTCATTTGCTGGCTCAATTGTAACTACTGGTTCATCTTGGACCACCACCTGCGATTCCGGTCGGGTCCAAACCGGTTGCGCTTTGTCTTTGACATTTTTTACAGGTTATTCGCTGGTCGACGTATACATTGATTCATTCCCGATGACGTCACGAGCAAGAAACACCTTCTGCTTGTGGCTGTCCCACAAACGATACCCGTTCGTACCGTAGCCAACGAAGTAACATACCTGGCTACGCGCGTCTAGCTTCGATCGCTTCTCCTTGGGAATGAAGCTGTAGGCCTTGCTCCCCCAGATGCGGAGTTTGGACACGTCTGGTTTGTGCCCGTACCACATCTCGTACGGCGTCTTCTTGTTCAACGCCATCGTTGGGCTCCGATTGACGATGTACACCGCCGCTTGAACTGCTTCGCCCCAAAGCTTCTTCGGTAGGCCAGAATCTTGAACCATCGCCCTCGCTTTGTCCAGGATCGTCCGGTTCAAACGCTCGCTTACGTCGTTTTGCTGTGGCGTGTATGGAACGGTGTACTCCACTAGCATTCCACGGTCTCGGCAGTACTGCTGGAACTCGTTGCCGACGTATTCTCCGCCGTTGTCGCACCTAAGGCGACGGATCTTGCTGTCGAAATGCCCCTCAGCCATGCTCGCGTACTGCTTGAAGACCTCCAGTACCTCATTTTTCGCCGCAAGGATGTATACGGCGCTAAAATGGGTAAAATCGTCGGTGAATGTAACGAAATACCTTTTTCCGTTCCAGGCTGTCGGGGTCAGGAAACCGCACACGTCGCTGTGTACCAGCTCCAACGGCTTGTTGGATCTCGGAACTGGTACGTCTCCAAAAGGCTGTCTCGCATGCTTCCCAAGCACACAAGGTTCGCACACTTCGTTGTCTTGAAATGCGTCCTTCCTCAGCACCATGCCGTTGACCATCTCGTTGCGCACCAGAGTCTTCAGACCACTCTTGCCAATGTGGTCGAACCTCCGATGCCACAGCTCGTACTAGTTCACCGGCAAGACTACCAGCGCTCCATCCACTGGTCCACGCTTCACGGTGGCGTTCAGCACGTACAGCTTTCCGGACAATTTACCAGTGGCAACCACTTCGCTGCCGTGCTTGATTTCCACAGCATCACTTCCAAACGTCACACGCATCCCAAGCTTGCCGATGCGCCGAATGGAAAACAGGTTGTACTGCAGTTCCGGCACGTACAGGAAGTCATTCACCACGCTGTTGATTTGACGCTTTCCGACCATCGAGACCATGCTTACCGTGCCAGAGTGATAGCTGTACGCGACCTTCCCGGAGGCCACCACGATTGGCACCGGCTTGTCCAGCTTCACCACGTCTCGAAGGCAATCCGCTGACTACACCATGTGTTCGGAGGCGCCTGAATCGAGAATCCACCAGAACTGACTCAGATTCCCACCGTCACGCTTAGCTTCACCGTCCGACTCCGTTACAGACGCCACTCCGGACCCAGCGACGTTGGCCTTTTCCTTCCTCTTCGGCTTCCCGGTCGACTTCCGTTGGTCCAAGTCCTTCTTCATGGGGCAGTTTGCGCGTTTGTGACCTACTTTGCCACAGAAAAAACACTTCATCTTGGGCCGCTCACTGAAAAACGCCGACTCACCATCCAGAGTACCTTCCGGTTCGCAGTTGTTCTGACGCTTCACGTTTTCACTCAGCAACCTGTCCTTCACAAATTCGAGTGTGCACTGCTCCGCCGGCAGGGTTTCGAGGACTGTCACCAGCTGCTGGAACGATTTCGGCATGGTTTGCAGCAAATTGAACACCACCAGCCGCTCGTGCATCACGATGTCCGCTGAGGCCAGCTCCCGGATGATCCTCTCGAACCGCAGCAGGTGCTCTTCCATCGGTTCCGCTTCGCTGCACTTCATTACGGCCAGTTGCTTCAGTAGGTAAAACTGGCCGGAAGTTCCCTTCTTCGCGAACAAGTTCTGCAACGTTGCCCAGATCGACTTCGGAGTAGACTTGACCTTGATGTACTCCAGCTGCGAATCTGCGATCTTCTCCACCAGCAACGACTTGTAACGAGCTTCCAGAAGTTTCCGCTCCACCAGCTTCGTCTCCTTCTGCGCCTTTACCTGAGCCGTATCCGTTTCAGCCGCTTGGATCTCCGGAATCTTCTTGGATCTTCTGCCGCTCCTCCAAAAACGTCTCCATCCGGAAACTCCAGTTAGGGAAGT